GCCACAGACCCCCAAAGTGGTACCAAGGACTCCTGGGGGTCAGTAGGAACCACTTTGGGAACTACTGATCTATATCAATATTAACNTACAGAAAATATATTCGGTTTAGCTTGTTTCAAGTATGCCAGAAAGCCTCAGTGTTGTCCTATCATTGCCAGAGCACCATCAGTAGCAACAGAGAGGATATTAATCAAGGATATATCTTTTGCATCGAGAAATGTTTTTAATTCATTAAATATTGTTTCACCTTTTGTATCAGTTTCCAAACATTTGGTAAATAACAATTCTTGGAAAATATTCTCATCTTTTTACAAATCTTATATAAGCTAAAAGTAATGCTTCGTTTCCTGGCAAAGTTGCCTTGCCAAGCTGTATAGAGAAATTTGTTGGTGCACTTCACATCACACACAAAACAGAATTAAATTGTTGATTAGATGTACAACTCGTCTAGTGTCATATTTTAGATAAGTTATTGTATGTAGCGGCGAGATTCCATTCATGTTCAAATCTGCATAGATAGACGGCCGCGGTCAGCTCAACTCTCACCATGCAATACTTGTCATTACTTGTATTTTATGTATCTATATACTAATATTTTACTCACAATGTAAAAATGGCTACCAATTTATTTATTGCTATTTATTTTTAACTATCCTAATAATGAAAATGGGTGACAATTATTTTACTTTATATTAAACTTTTTGCAGACCCCCTGACATTGTTTACACACCCTCAAATTAATTTTTATTTGCCACAGACCCCCAAAGTGGTACCAAGGACTCCTGGGGGTCAGTAGGAACCACTTTGGGAACTACTGATCTATATCAATATTAACTAATTTAAATATATCATTTATATTTATAGAATATAAAAAAAATTTATAATAAATTCGTATCTTACATATGAATATACAATTTTATTTAAATGCAGCTTATGGATATAATTTACATGAAATTGCATTACAATATCTTCATTCAAAATATAAATATTCAAGTTCATATAAATTTTTTTTTACTGTAACAAAAACTAAAATAATTTTATATCTAATCATCACATATAATTCATCTTTGAAGTGGTCATAATTATGGCTGTACTAGTGCTTAATCAAAAATCAAGAAATATGGTTATTTAATTTAATTTAAAAAGTTGCTATTTCTCAATATTTCACTGTAATATTTTTAAAATAATAACCTTCAAGAAAATTAGTAAAATATGTAAAAAATATTGTGAGATCATCACAATATAAATTTAGATAACTTTCAGTATAACATATTTTATTAATCTTCTCAATATATTTTAATATTTATTCTAAATGTAAAGAATTAGTTATAAATATAAAGAATAGTTACAGCAAGAATTTGAAGTAGTACATAATATAAAATTTGAGATGTACATGTAAAAACAGAAAGATGCATTAGTTGAATATGTTTAAAGAAAATGATTGAACGAGAATGCAAATTAAATTAGATTAAAAAAAAAAATGTTTTTAATAATAATTACATACATCTTATATATAAGAATAGAAAATCAATTTTATTGGGGGAAAAATGACAGAAAGACATCAAGTAAAAAGGAATTATTATGTCAAGATTATACGATGAGAATTACAAATAGAATTAAAGCAATAAAGCTGTACTAGTTAAGAAAGTGTGGGAAAAGAAGCAGCAGAATAGAATTTAGTTTAAAAATTAGGTTAATGCATTGTGTCCATAATTTATAACCTTACTAATTTTATATGAAAAAAGTATCATGCCTATGTAATTTTCTATATTAAAAAAATCATTTAGGAATTAAATTCTCCAAAAATATTAATTTTTTAATAATTAATAACAATTTTAAGCATATATTAAAAAATAATTATAAATAAATCTCAAAAACTATAAATATTTCTGTTTTAAAATTTAAAAAAAATTTAATATTATAAAATTTGAGGAAAATGAGTAATTATTAATAAATATTCAACAATTTATTAACAACATTTAATATTTATTAATAAAAATATTAAATTTAATTAAAGTATCAAGTTAAAGTATACAGCATTAATAACTAAAAGAAAAATTATTTTAAATATTCAGAAGAAAGAGAAGTGAGAGAGAGGAGTAGCTATTTTGCATTATCTACACAAATTATTACTGTAAAGACAATGACAAGCTGCATTTCAATGTTAAAAGACATAATAAATAAATACTGTTCAATCTATTTATTTTCTATAAGTATCTTTACCAAGTATTTTTAATGACATCTGCCATCTTAAAAATCCAATGCTAAATGTGTATTCTTATTTTATATTCTCTAGCTATGTAATATTTAAATGACATATGCGTGAAGTGATATTAATTTTTAAATGATATTAAAGTTGTTTATGGTTACAAAACAATCTTTCCTTCAGAAGTCCAGTTTTTATTTTGAATATCATTTCCAAAGCTCCAGATATAAACAAAACCATTACTGGAATAAAGTGCACAACATTAGTAGCAAAATAATATTAAAAAATTTAGATAAGGATCTTCCATCTTCATTCAGCATTCTAGTGCTAGAAAAAAATTTATATCAATTTTTTTTATTGATTAGAATTATTCAAACAATATGCTAATATATTATCAAATCAATATAAATTTGATATATAAATCTAAAAGCATAAAAAGTAATCAAAGATATGATTTACAATTTTCTATAACAAACAGATTGCAATATTGATTTTTTGCAACATAAAAATTTAAATATAAAATTTCAAACACAAATTACAATATAGGCTAGATGGTTGAAAGTTAATTATTTTTTATCATCCTCAAATTTGTAATATTTAATTTAAGACAGTTTAATAAGTTTAACTATGCAAGTAATTTTTACAATTAAATAAAAAAATGACAGTATATGATTATCATCCAGAATATTTCTTTGTTCAAAAATAACTGAAGTTTATTGATCTTTCGGAGAACTAAACGATTTGCGATTGTCATGCAATATTAATCAGATACAAAATCTATTTATCCCTCATGCAATATTTTAAAAAAGTTTTTAAAATATTGTAAATGATGATAGCATTTCTATAAGCTATAGTAATTATGCATATAATTTATAATATACATTTTAAACACATTCAAGTATTTAATTATATTGTCAGCTCAATACATTAAATTTTATTATTATTTTAATATAGAATTCTTACTTAATTACATGTTTTTTAACAATAATTTAAATTTTTTAAGCAAATTATTATAAAAATAATAAAATCATTTAAAAAATATTACTTTTCAAACTGACATTTCTTTGATTTTATATTTCTCTCATACAAAATAAAGTATTTCTTTTACTTATTTATTCTTTTATTTATTATATTATTATAATATTGTTATTTTCTTAACTTCAGATATTCATTAATTTTGCTCATCAATATTAGATATTATATTAATATATTTTAACACGTTTTTGTGCAATTCTGATATTTGTATTTGTTCATTGCATTGCATTTATAAAATTATTTCAAATAATTATTGAATTTCAATGACATTGACAATCCATAATAACTTTTATCTTTATTTTCTATACTTTTGACCTTGGAAAAGTAACTAGGCAAATGATAGTTTAGTTATTTTATAGCTAAATACTCTAATAATAATAATGTAATATTGGATCCATATCAATAAAAAAAAAATAGTTTAATAATAATGCATGTTGTGAATTTTATTTTTCTATTTATTTTTTTAGAAAGCACTTTCTGGGAATTATTAACAGTAATTAGTACATTAAAAAAAGCAAAATCTTATCTAATGTCCTCAATAATGTAATAAAATTATTCCTGTAATTAGCACAACCACATAATGTTAGAATTATTTACATACAGAAATATTTCACCAATGCAAATTATAACTTAAAAAGAATCCTTATAATGAGAATCCTTAGAAATTATTTTATCACCTTTTTTATCATTAGTATAGACCCTACTAAATAAATTGTAGATTATATTTTATTTATCTCAGCTTTGTTTGTTGTAATTGGGCTTACAATAATGCAATATACTTAATGTTTTCTTTTCGTAAAAGAAAAACAAGAGTTACCCTGACACCAAAATATATAAGGTTAATTGTTAAACAAACTGATATATGGATCAAAATAGCCCTTGACATCTTTTATTTTTGCTAAAATTCATCTTCTTAGCCATTAATATATAAAAACATGTTTACTATAGTTCTTGAGTATTCAATAAAGATTAAAAATTTCAACTAATTTTGTGCACGAAATGAGCTATACCATGCAAAGTTTTAATAAATCACAATAAAATCAATAATATGAAAAAGACTTATTAATATAAAACATTTCTACCAATATATCATAATAAAAGATGCTTGTCAATTTATTGTAATATCTATAATTAAAAATTATTATACTCAACAGCTGAAAGTTAAAATTGCTTTTACTGTATATATAATTATTAATTAGAAATTCTCATTATTATTTTTTAATTTATTTAGATGGCTTAAATAATTGACATATATATTGTATACTTTCACAAATTTTTAGATATAAAATATCTTTCTTGCATATCACAATAAGAATGAGATGGAGCAAGTTTAAGAAAAAATTGCAAGCAATGCCGATGGATTACGAAGAACATGCTCAATTTTTCAACATTTTACTGCATTTAATCTCAGTTTTACCTTAGATATACCAATAAAATATATGCACAATTCCTTTTGTTTGGATACCTTATAAAATTCTATATATATATTTTTTTTTTACTTAATTGTCATCTATTTGTTTATTCATTCTTTTCAATTAAAATAATTAAAAAATTGTTTTTTTTATTAATCAATTTCTCTAACCACATCAATTTACCAAGAGTGAAATTCACGTATTCCGCTAGTCACACCATCATTATCATCGTGCAATTAATTTAATGTAATTATTAAGAGGATTTATATTAAGAGCTGACATAATTCTTGCACGTAAATTATAAAAAAGATATTAAAAATAAATCGAAACGATAATATTTATTTTACCTGATCACTCCATCCTCGGCCATATTTCCATTCAGTTACATAGTGTTCACAGTTTTTGGTTAAAAAGTTATAATTGACTTTAGTCCCGATCACAGCCAATGCTCTCTGTAATACCTCATCGACTGGAAGAGGTGGAAGAGATTTTTCTTTGGCTGGCACTTCTTTATTGTTTATTCTGACTCCACTGACTCCAGCAACGTCGACCAGGGAAGCTAACTTGACGGTGACATGTTTTGTCGGAATGTCTTGTCCAGTCAACGTGACCACGTTGCCGTCTCCAACATACAAACACCAGTCAGAATATAATGTACGATCAATTTCTATCAGATCTCCTACTTCGGCTTGAAAATCTGTCGCCGGTACAAACGATCTCAAACCGTAATTAGTGCAGTCGAACTCCATTTAGACCATTCGGACCCAAAACTTCTTCTCAGTTCTCACTCCGCGAAATCCGGATTATCTAAGAAATATACAACCAACAGCTACATCGACCACGTGACTGTCATAGACATCGAGAACTAAATGAATCGATTATTCTAAAAAATGAAACTTATCTCGTATATATTTTCACTTTTACTTCTCAAATTTTTATAGAATTATTAATTAAATATAAATAATAATTTTTACTAAGTTTATTAGTGACTTAGTATTTGGAAAATGATTTACGATTTTAATGATGAGTAAATAACACAATCGTATGCTTCATATATAAACAGTACTAAATAATATTATTTACAAATCATAAAATTAAGACACTGTAATATATATTAAGATAAAAATCAACATATAAATCTGATTTTTTTAATCTTCTTTCTTCTTTTTTAACGATTTATTTACATTCGCTCGAAATAAGAGATTTGAAACGGACTTAATACCTGATTTCTAAGAAGTATAAACGTAATTAAATGTTTAATTGTATCATTAAATGATTAGATCAATAAAATAAATATAATTCTAAAAATATGAATACTTAAAACCGGAATATTTAAAAAAGTTTTAATTTATTTAATTAAAAACCAGATGATTACAATATATAATTTAATACTAAACATGACAGATTAATATATTTCATTTTTTTAGTATTATTAATTTGTTAAATAATTATTAGAGCGTAAATTATAACGAAACTTTAATAATTATTACATCATCTGTAGCCGTATTTTAGCAGGGAATCTATTCGAGATATTGCGATTATCAAGTCCTCAAAAGGACTAGCAGGTCCTTGGACTCATATTTGTGTGTATCGATACCTCAAAAATATTATAAATTATTCAATTCATTCATTTTGTGTATATAAAAAAAAAAAACAAAATTATTTTTTACCAAATATTTAAAAACCGTAATACAATTTTCAATTCATAATACGACACTCTTTCTATTTAATATACTTGCAAGAAAGTAAGCTAGAAACTTCAATTAAATAAGTACTAAATGTAAATTACGTTTGATACCCCAGTCGGGGTATCAAAACGTAATTTCAGTCGGGGTAATTTACTCTTATTTCTTAGAAGCCATATATCAAAACATTGACATATGATATCAACAAGTAGGGTGTAAAACCATCTAGTAAAACCATCTAGTCATCTAGTAAACTAGTCTAGTGGTCGCAAGAATTTTAAGTTTTCTTTCGTAATTTTGTCCAGATTATAGGAAGCGCCGGGCCATCACTTGCCGGAAATGCAGCGGTTTACCTGAATAATTTTATCCTTGTAACGAAAAATTAAGGTACTTCATTACAACGTGCTTTTTAAAACTATAATTATAGTTTATTTATTTAAACTGTAATCAGTGGAGCGTTATCCTATGGACAAAAGGGCAATAAATTTCTTAGGACCCCCACCAGCAGAGAGCCCAAACAAATCTTTTATAAGAAAATACCATCTCCAAATATTTCCCCGAAAATACTGTATAGTACATGGGGCCCCCTAATTAAAATTTTCCCGGGCCCCATAAAGCTATAATGCGCCACTGACTGTAATAATCGGGCAAGCAACTACCCAGAAATTTTTCATAGGCGGTTTTCCCGGATACGTTGGGTCCCATCTCTCATTACTCGGTCGCACCCATTGTGAATCCCACGACGGATGTAATAAAAACGTCCTGTTATTGTCCACAGGACGGAAAAAAAAGACAAATAAAAAAAAAGCTGAAATATTTAATAATTCATAACAATTTAAATTTAATATTGTAACCAATTTGAAATGAAATTTTATTTATACTTTGCATATGTTACAAGTTATTACATAACTTATAAGTGATGATTTATATCAATCATGAACAACCTGCGGCTCGTGAGGTCTTGATGTGTAGCCCAGAGGCTTCAGAAATAATTTTATTTTCCCGTTTTCTTTCGAGTGTCACTATGCAATCTTAAGTGATATTCGTGACTAAGAAAATTCAAACAAAGCGAAATTTTTCGTTATTACTATAAAATATCTTTTTTATTTTAAGAAATACAATCTCAACGATAATTTGAAAAACGAAGAATTTTTATTGCATTTGTTATTTTTAAATAAGTTTTATCATTCGGTTTCATTATATACACTTGACTTTTCAGCAGATTTAATTTCATTTATAATTAAAATTTTTACTGGAAGAATGTGTTATGTTATGTTATTTTTTAGAATTACGAACGATCACGACGATAAATCATGTGATTTGCTTAACATTATATCTGATATAGATGTATTATTATAGATATATTTATTCCTATAGACTGAACAGAATATACTCTACACTATGAACAGTATCTGAAGAAAACGGACCAAAGATTCATACTCGGCAGCTTAGAAAATCCCGAGTGCATATTTTGTGCTTACTAAGAAGGCGATATCCGGATTGTACGGAATGGCGCGATTTCATTGGTCAGGTAAACAAGAATTGACGTTTTTCAACAGAAAATAGTTATTGACTTCTGCATGCACGAGATAATTCAGAACATCCAAACGTTTTCTAATGTTAACTCTAACATAGGCTGCCATTCACATCCGAATATCAAATGATAATCGGCCAATTTAATCAAATTTCGCAAAAAATGGACAAAATATTTAAATCCGGCACCCTCGAAAACCCCTAAAAACATATTTTCTGCTAGCCTGTATACTTCGTATTAAGTAATTTTCCATTCGAATGCCATTATCCCGGTGGTCAGATAGAAAGGGACTTGTCGCGAAGGGACTTGAAGTTAATTCTACAAAACATAATCTTTGACATTCTCCTGAATGAGAGAACTCTCCCTGAGAAGTTTCATTGAACAAACTAACTTTCACCTTTATATATTAGATGTAAACAATGAATAAATTGTAATAAACAAGAAATATGTTAACAATAAATAAACAAGAAGTGGTAAAGAATGTAAATTGTAAGTAATGAAATTCACTAAAAATTCGAAGGAAATTTAATAGAAAATAAAGTGGAAATAAAATACGTTGACAACAATACATCATCATTTACAATTCCATTTAAATTCCTATATTTAATTAAATCCATTATAATAAATAAAGGTTTAAATATCATTTTCAATCAGATGAAGCGCTTTCGAGAATAAATAAGCATATGTAATGAATTTTTTTAAAATGTCTACAAGCTTGTATACTTTACACACAACGTTATCAGATGTAATTAAAATTAAAGCATGATAGTGTTAATATCAATTTTTTTTAATGTTCTATAATTATTATTGAAAGGAATTTAATGTAAGCAAACACATTTAACTTCCTTTACATATCACGCTATATTTCTATTACCAAAATTTAAAATTTAATTATTTCTATTTTTTAAGAGCTATTGTAAATATGACAAAATAGTTGAATACTTTTGGCTGCAATTTAAAAAACTTGTAGATCTGTGATTCCCATTGTCGTCTGTCTGTCCTTCCTTAATCTCGATAATGGTGTGAGATAGATGAAAGCTGAAATCAGATATGGAAAGCGTAAATTCAGAAAATTCCGATTAACTATATATAAATCTCTGATCTAGACTGCAAGTTTTGTGATTTCAATTCAAATTTTCCCTGAAAAGAGTTTGATAGATGATCACCGTGACCGTATTGCTAACAGGAAAAATGTGAAGTACAGGGGCTAGACACAGCTATTTTGAGGCAGGAAGCATATATTTTACATTAAATAAATTAAAAACATGATTAAAAATTGCAGCCGCTATTGTGACGATGTCATAATAAGTAAATTGCTCGTTGACGTTTTTAAATTTAATTTAATATTAAATTATAAGCTTGTTAGTTTCACCGCTAACGGCGTTGCTTTACCAACAGCCTTAATGGATTTTTAGCTCTCTGTCAGAAAGATGAAAATTTCCTTGATTTACTCTCCTATCACTGCATGCAACACCAGCAAACCTTCTGCAAAAAATTCTTGCAACTGGATTCGGTTATGAAAACTACTGTTAAAATAATCAAGAAAATAAGAGCTTGCTCATTGCAAAGAAGACTGTTCAGGAACTTGATGGAAGTGATGAAACTTTAGTATGCCAAATATTACTGTTTTATACAGAAGTACACCTACTTAATAGAGGGAAAATACTTTCATGCTTCTTGAAGCTATGGCCAGGCATTATTATCTTTTTGATAAATGAAGACAATCAAGATGATTTAGTTGCAACTTTAATTAAGAGATTCAAGATGGCGACAAGACTTGGCATTTTTAGCTGATATAACAGATCGTTTGAACGACTTAAATTTAAGTCTGCCAAAAGACAAAAATATTTTGTCTTTCCCTGGAAACAAGAGTTGTGGAAGTGCAATCTCAAAGAAAAACAATACAAGCACTTTTCATGCTTAAAGAGTTAAATATAAGAAAACGTTTAGTCATACTCGGAGATGGAGAAACATTTGAGAATAATTGTAGACATACAAAAGGAATTTAGTAAGAGATCAACAGAATTTTAAAAACTTTGAACCAATCTGTCAATTTGTGCCATTTCCATTTTCTGTATATGAAAGATATGATAGTGTTATCAGCAGCAATAGTAAATAAATGTAATGAAGAAGGCACTGAAATAGAGCTTGAACTAATAAATCTTAACAATGACTTGAATATCAAAAGTCTTGCGAATGGGCGAGACGTTTGGCCATTCATTCCTAGGAGAAAATACCCTTCACCTTTTAGTCAAAGTAATGCAAAGAATTAAGTTGATCGATCTCTGTCAGCTTCGGAGTCTGAAAGACGATTAGTATATCTTTCAGGTTTCAGACTGCTGCCATAAAAGATCCCAACAGACATGTTACTGGATGCAGAGAACCTGAGGCGAACCAAGCTTATTCCGCTCTTTTTCTCAGTTAGCTAGTAAGTAAGAAGGACAAAGTAAATGCAATAACACTTTTTATAGATGTAGCAATAGAAATAAAGTTTTTCGTAATATTTTTTGTGGTTATTACAGATAGAGTAACTAATACTTTATAAACTTTCAAAGCGGATACTAAAAATTGTTGCGCGGGTCATGGTTTCGCTTCTTTTTTTCCTCTCTTTCCGCCCCGTGGGAACTAAGAGGCCTCTTTTAGCAAGTCCATTATGAGTTCGGCTAGGCCCATAATGGAGCGGCTGGATGGTGAGTGATAAGGCCCGACATATTCGGACGGATACACCCGAAAAACTTCTGGGAAATTTTCGACTCGTCGGGATCTGAACCCGGCGTTAGCCGTTAGGCTGCCATCTTGACCGCGGGACCATCCGGCCGACGTCATGGTTTTGTTGTCACTGGTCTTTTTCTGAAAAAGTATCGCTTCTCATGTGATTAAAAATCTAGGAAACTACTCCCAAGAGAATAAAAAACACGCCCTTTATGATCTATCCAGTGGTTTTGAAACTTTTTAAAACAGCGTGCTCTGTTTTGTATAAAATTCTTGCGCCTCTACAATTGTCGTAAGGCACACCTTTCTGCTTTTCGTAGAACATATCTCTAACAGAATAAATTTTTTTATTAGTTTTTTGATAGTGTCTAATTATATTTTAAACAAAAAAGTAAAATAGCATGCAGAGATTGTTGCTCTAAATGTAATCAAAGTTTGATGATATATCTCGTAATGAGTACATTGTACTCATTGTCATCCTAGAAAAAGCATGTGCATTCCATAGTTTAGAGCAATTGTTATAATTTAAAATTTAGAAATAAAAACGATTCGATAAATTAGTCATCAGAAAAAAACTGAGCTTCTATTTTTTAAATAACAAATAACATCAAAAACAATACATAACAATTACGTTGATAATACTTTGTTACTGTATGTTTTGTTTTTAAATCATTCTTTTCGCTTTCTTTTGAAAAAAATGAATACTCTGATAAATTTTGATGACGAAATCACTTGGCATGCAATAACGTTAATTATCCTTTTAATATTATATCACATTATTTACTGTTTCTGCAAAAGGCGTCTAAAGAATAGATCAGAAGTTACTTACTCAAGTATAAATTCTTGTTTAAGTTTGTTTGAGCAGAAGTTAGGAAAAAATGGATTTGTCATACTCAAAAATCAAGTAGGACACAAATTTATTTTAAAAATAAAATTATTTAATAAAATAATATGTTGATAGATAAACTTTTTAGGGTATACGTTTGCACTATGTCACTTCTGGAGATGAAATAAATCCAATGATGCTGATGATTCATGGATATCCAGAATTTTGGCATGTTTGGAAAAATCAGATTTCAGAATTTCGCCAAAATTATTGGTAATTTAAAACTATTGAATTTATTTAATATTGGTTTTGCTCATTTAAACTAAATTGAATTGTATTAAAAAATATTAAACTCTAAAAATGTTTAAAACCATAGACGTCCGCGAAAATTTTTCAGGAGGGCAAAGCTTGGAGACAAATAATTACATCAAGTTTTTACTTTTTAATAAATTTGAAACCGTGTCTTCCTATTTACTTTGCTTCCTTAGAACGTGCTGAGGAAGCAAAAACAAATTAATAATATTATACAAATTAATTGATATATTTGAAACTATAACCAACAGAATAAAAAGTTGACTGAAGAGAAGTACCAGAGATCCGAAACGCGTATATACAAATTAATTGATATATTTGAAACTATAAATAACAGAATAAAAAGTTGACTGAAGAGAAGTACCAGAGATCCGAAACGCGTATCGACCAATGAATAAATAAAAAGTGTAAAAAAACCGCCTTTATCTAATTTATTGCACTTCGTCGTCCCGAGAGCAATAAGATTTACGTTAAAGTTGTCTGATACTTTTAAAATAATATTTACACAATATTTAACTTCAAATTTCTATTATAATATTTGTGATTATGTTATTCAAGTTACTTATTAAGATAAATATTTTATGAGTTAAAATGGTGTCAATTTATATATTTCAGGCTAGTAATTCCTGATCTAAGAGGATACGGGCTTTCAGACAGATCAAATAAAAATGTTTCCATTATTAATTTAGTAGAGGATATGGAAGAACTAATAACGTTATTTGGTATTGCATATATTATTTTAAATATTATGAAATTAAAGCTTTTTGTTGAAAAATTAATTATATTTAATTCATAGCAAAAGATTCAGCTATTGTTGTAGGACACGGTTTTGGAGGAATAGTTGCTTGTAAGTTAGCTCAGAATCATCCAAATGTTGTAAACAGATTGGTTATTTTAGATGCTCCATTTCCTGGGACACTAATTTATTCGAATACTTGGTATAAAATATATTTTTTAATTCTTATTTAGCATATCCATAAAATAATCTGTTAAATTATCACATTTAATATTTCTGTCATAAATTAATATTTATATTTTAATGCCTTATTCTTTAATTTTCAAGGTGGATTACTTTTGAAATACCAATTATATTAAAGCTATTTATAATTCTTAAAAGAATATTTTTTATGGAGAAAATATTTAAGGAAAATGAAAATAAAGATATTATATTAAGTGAAATGGAAGCCTATTGTAAAGAAGGTAAATGTATTTAATAACGCAAATAGTAAATTATTTGTAATTCTGCAAAATGTTGTATTACAGAATGTGGAACGATTGGAATGAACCATTTTGTAATGAAATCACGAGAAATCGATAAAGAAGTAACGATTTCGCTTCCTACGCTAATTATTTGGGGAGAAAACGACTTTTTAGATTATTATACATGTATGAGGAATTATTATAAATATTGTAATGATTTACGTACTGAAAGAGTTGGAAATGCAGGTCATTGGGTACATTGCGAACAACCAGAAATTGTTAATGCTAGCATTACTAAATTTTTAAAAGAAACGGAAAAAGTATTGCACAAATAAAAAATGTATTTTGGAATTAGAATCATATTTAATTAAATTAATTAATATGTTTTATCACTATGATTTTCGATGTCCTATGTATATTTCTTTTTTGAAAATTCAAAGTCTGGTTACTATATAAAATTCGATATTCAAAAATTGTTATTCTTATTCATATATATTGCAAAATTTGCTATTTATATTTTGATTTTTTCAAACTTTCTACGCTCTGTAGACAAGTCCATACTGAGGAGGCCGGGTGGTGAGGGACGAGGACCGACAAATATCTGGGGCAGACTGCTGATGAAAAATCGATGTAGAATCCAGGGAATCGCTTTATTGATTCGATCCTAGATAATCCAAAGCACTAAGTGAAATCCTTAATGCCAACCAAATATTCCATAATGCAGGGCCGTGCCGTAGATTTTTCTCAGTGTGATGCAAGTCTTCGAAATGCCGCCCCTTAAATGTTTTTCTCTAAAATACCTTCGGTTGTGATTTAAAAAAACTGCACAAATTGTACGAATATTATTTTTACTTTGAAAATAAAAATTACTTTAAAATAATGATATCAAGTATCAACTATAAGAATCTACTACAGTTTTACCCTTCTAACTTTAACTTTAGCAAATTCGTTAATTAGGGAATCGTAATCTAGAGTGGCAGCCAATGTAGATTCAATAGAAATTAATGATAGATTTCTAAATTTTGTTTGGCTTATTGCACTTTTTAAGTAGCGTTTTATTAATCTTAATTTGGAAAAACTTTCCATTTTAGTGGGGGACGTCATGAAAATGCACACTAAAAAGGATTTTTGGAAATTTCAACCCCCCTCGAGGGAAGAAGAGGAGAGAGTCAATTTTAGTCGGTATAAAGTGTAAATAATAAACAAAGAAAGTAAATAGTGACATGTATAGTATACATTTTGGCAATTAATAAATATTTTNTTCGTAAATTTAGAATACTTTTTTCTGTACTATATTAAAAACTAAAATTTATTTGTTTGTAAGCTTAAAGTAGATTTTTATTAACCATATATTATTAAAAATGCATTAATAAATAAAATACAGAACCGGGAATGGTAATATAGGGTTTAAGCTAGTGACAGGTAGATTCGGAGACAAGTAAATTCGACTTACGTCGTTTTCCTGGAACCAATTACCGACGTAAGGCGAGGTATACCTGTAAATAGTGACATATATAGTAGTCTATACATTTTGGCTATTAATAAATATTTTAATAATTTCCATCTTTTGGGCAAACCAAAAACAATAAATAGAAAATTCGAAAAATTCGAAATATTGAATTGGAAATATATAACAAGTTTTTTTTAGATTTTAGAATTTAAAATCTATCATATAATTCAAGTAAAGCAAGCAAGTAAGTTAATTCTCCATTATAATGAAAATTTTTTATTATTTTTATTTTATAGGTTATTTAAATAAAATTATTTTTGAATACTAAAGATTTATTCTATTAAAATTCAATAATGATTTTAATCAATTTTTTGCATTTTTGACTGCGTTTTAGTAGGATACGCCTTGAGAATGCACACTAAGAAGGAATTTTTGGAAATTATCCCTGCAGGAGAGAGGGACAAGGTTAAAGATTATCTTAAAGAACTCTGCTTTACTGTACTATTTTAGATGCGGTTTTTTGCGTTTTTGCAGAAAATCGAACATATTTTCAGACCATGTAAAAATTCTCTAATTAATCTCGGAAGAGGGAGACCTAATTCTTGAATCCGGTGAAAACGGGTAAAATCGGCTTTAATCTAAAAATCTTAATCTTCGCTATTGTTACTTTTTGTCCGTGCAACGCCGGGTTCATCTGATAGTAAAGAGATAACGAATATCTGTCAAATTGACAGCCAGCAGCCGTTTTGACATATGCCTTCCTTTAACTTGTCATTCTATTGGCTCAACTTCAACGTATATAAATTTAGTAAAAATAGAGCAAAAAATAACGAACGCAAAAATAGCAAATGCAAATATTTCCGAAGCAACTCTATCACATACAGAATTTAAAAGAAATCCAATATTACCTAAAAACTCTCTATCACACACAGGCACACGTTCCTCACCTGATATATACCCAGTTCATGCAAATGCTACTTTTTAATTCGAGTTCTTATTGTCACAACATAATCCTTTTCAATGATAATCTATATCTATATCTATAT